TCGGGGACTTTAATAAGGGTAACCTGAAGAAAGTCTCACCAAAACTACACCAACACATCCATTTCAATAAACGTGGAGATCGGCTACTCGACCACTGCTACACCTCTTTCCGAGATGCGTACAAAGCCCTCCCCCGCGCCCCATTCGGCCAATCAGATCACCGCTCCATCCTGCTTATACCTGCCTACAGACAGAAGCTGAAACGGGAAGCTCCAACCCTGAGGGCGGTGCATTGTTGGTCGGACCAATCGGAGTCTACACTGCAGGATTGTTTTGATAACGCGGACTGGGAAATGTTTCACGCAGCTGCTAGAGACATTGATGAGTACACAGACTCAGTCTGCAGATTTATCAGGAAATGCGTGAAAGATGTTGTCCCATCCAGAACAGTTAAACCCTTCCCAAATCAAAAACCCTGGATTAATGGAGGTGTGCGAACGGCGCGGAGCACCACCTTTGCCTCCGCGAACACATCAGACTACAAACACGCACATTACCAACTCCGGAAGACGATCAAAGCAGCCAAACGTGAGTACAGAGACAGGGTGGAGCAACAGTTTGAGAACCCCCGGAGTATGTGGCAGGGACTAAACACAATCACAGACTTTAGAGGGAGAACCAGAACACCGCAGACCACGGCCTCTCTGTGTGAGGATCTAAACGCATTCTATGCCAGATTCGACACAGCGAACTCCATGAGACCGGACAGTGAGCGCACCGCGGATGACGTCAGTGCGCACACTGTGTCTGAAGAGGGTGTGCGGAGGTGGTTCAGGAGGGTGAACGCACGCAAAGCTACTGGTCCGGTCGGGATTCCCGGCCGCGTCCTAAGGTCATGCGCGGGTCAGCTGGCTGGAGTGTTTACACACATCTTCAACCTTTCCCTCTCTCTGTCTGTAGTCCCAGCCTGCTTCAAAATGGCCACCATTGTCCCTGTACCCAAATCCTCCACCATCTCCTCACTGAATGACTGGCGACCTGTAGCCCTGACCCCCATCGTGAGCAAATGCTTCGAGAAGTTGGTCAGGGACTTCATCTGCTCTGCACTGCCCGATTCACTGGGCCCTCTACAGTTTGCATATTGCCACAACAGGTCCACTGATGATGCCATAGCCCTGACACTTCATGCTGCCCTGTCACACCTGGAGAAGAGAGACACGTATGTGAGAATGCTGTTTGTAGATTACAGCTCAGCATTCAACACCATTGTTCCCTCGAAGCTGGACAGGAAACTGCAGGATCTAGGACTGAGCAGCTCCCTCTGCAGCTGGATCCTGAACTTTCTGTCTGACAGACGCCAGGTGGTCAGACTGGGCGGCACCACCTCATCCACCGTCACACTGAACACTGGTGCTCCGCAGGGGTGTGTGCTGAGCCCTCTCCTGTACTCACTCTACACCTACGACTGCACGGCCACGAGAAACTCCAACATCATTGTGAAGTATGGGACGACACCACAGTGGTAGGTCTCATCACCAACGACGATAAGACGGCCTACAGGGAGGAGATCAGCTCCCTGACCCACTGGTGTCAGGACAACAGTCTCACCCTCAACATCACAAAGACAAAGGAGATGATAATGGACTTCCGGACGAGCAGAGGAATACACACCCCCATCACCATCAACGGCGACGCTGTGGAGAGGGTGAGCAGTTTCCGTTTCCTTGGAGTTCATCTGGCAGAGGATCTTACGTGGTCATGCACACGGAAAGTAAAGTGAAGAAGGCACAGCAGCGCCTCTTCTTTCTCAGAAGACTGAAAAGATTTGGCATGAGCCGCCGCATCCTCAGGACCTTCTATCGCTGTGCCATTGAGAGCATCCTCACTGGATGCATCTCCGCCTGGTATGGCAACAGCACCGCTTACAACCGCAAAGCTCTCCAGAGAGTAGTGCGGTGTGCAGAAAGGATTATTGGAGGTGAGCTTCCCTCCCTCCAGGACATCTATAAGAAGCGGTGCCTGAGGAAAGCGGGGAGGATCATCAAGGACTCAAGTCACCCCAGCCATAAACTGTTCAGACTACTTCCATCAGGAAGGAGGTTCTGCAGCATCCGGTCCAGAACCAGCAGACTGAGAGACAGCTTTTTCCATCAGGCCATCAGACTGCTGAACACGGCGCAGACACCTCACCCTCACTACTGAAACTCCAACATTACACACTCCATAGTGTACATTAATGCCACTGTTTTGCACATACCAACCTCTGTATATTTTATATCTCTTATGTTATTGTTTACTTTATTCATTTGTATATTTAGATTAGCCATTTTTATATTTTACTTGTTTTTACATTACTGTATTTTTGCACAACTCTGTTGCTGTGAAGCTCGCACACAAGAATTTCACTCGCATGTACTGTACCAGTGTACCTGCACATGTGACGTGACAATAAAAGTGATTTGATTTGATTTGAAATGCAAGAAGCTGTTAACGAATATGCTAACAGTAGCTTTACCAACGTTAAGTTCAAGTTACCAAGTTTAAATTAACCAAAAACACCCAGCAACAAACAGACCAGCATGGAGGAGAGTGCTACCACCAAAACAGCTTTCCTAATGTCTGAATGAAGCTCCTTAATGAAGGGAGAAACGCTCCCGGTGATTTTCGACATCTGCGATAGAGATGAATTAGCGCATTTGACCCCGGAAGTTGCTGTCCGTTGCCGGGGGGCGAAGGCGGGCAAAACAGGAAAGGAATCTCGTAGCGGACGGACATTGTTCCGGGTCTTCGGTATTTGGCGGAGAAGAGGGCGAACTAGAGGAAAAACAGGCAGATTCCTCCTCTATTTACAAACTCCTGGGGATATAACAAGTGGGCGTGGTGCGTCGACTACCGGATCTGACATCGACGAATTTTTAGAATCGAGCCGTCGACGTCATTGATGCGTCGCCACAGCTCTAGTTACATATGTCATCTAATTATTAAATAGAAATCACCTCTGCATTCCTGTTGGTAGAAATCAGGTTGGGATCAGTCTGCTTCAGGTTGTCTTCCGGCATCTGACTCTGGATTGCCTCAGGTGAGACCTGCATCAGACAAGCATCAGCTACTCAATACAAGTTAGTGACAAACTGCTGTTCCCATATTGTTGCTTTGTTTTTTATACATTTACACTATATATAAAAACGTGTAGAAAATTCTTACTGCATTAGAATGCAAACACACTGCCTTGCCTAAAAAAGAAGTTGCCACCTAGATTTATTTAAGCAAACAGAGAGGAGCCTCCTATTGGATAATTACTGCATGGGCGATAATCTTTCAACTGGCAACAAGTTATTTAACTCCAACTGCTGCAGTGAGTTGCTTCTCATTTCTTAAACAGCCATGTAGAAAAACACATCTGGTGGTCGTGTAAAAGATGTTCGTCTGTTTTGAGAAGGGTCAAATGATTAGCATGAATAGGGCAGTGAAAACATCTAAGGAACTAAATATGACTTAAGAACTGTCAGTAGCCACATTTACATGGGCACAATTAAATTGAACGCCCAATCAGATAAAAAATTCTACATGTAAACATGTAAATCGAAGTGTTATGATCCAATTCGGCCCGATCGGAATGAAGTTTCAATCCAATTGAGAGGTGGTTTTGTCCGATCATCATTCCAGCTGACGTGCATGTACACAGCCATTTGGATTATTTGAGTAAAATATTGCCCACTGCGCATAAGTGCAACAGCTAGCTTTTTCTTTTGGTGGTGACATTTTTTGGGCTGGACAATGTATAATGCCACTGAACCTACGAATGTCCACATAAACACTATGGTCCTCCTAAACAACAATAGGATAGAAAGCTACTAAACACACACACCCCCACACACAGATGGCTTACTAAAATTAAAACCTCTGTTTGGGACTGTCCTGACAAACCAGTGTCCATGTAAATCACATAACACTCAGATACACTTACACACTAATTACAAGAGTGGTTGACTAACATCTTACAACAAGTTACATATATCATCTAATTATTAAATAGAAATCACCTCTGCATTCCTGTTGGTAGAAATCAGGTTGGGATCAGTCTGCTTCAGGTTGTCTTCCGGCATCTGACTCTGGATTGCCTCAGGTGAGACCTGCATCAGACAAGCATCAGCTACTCAATACAAGTTAGTGACAAACTGCTGTTCCCATATTGTAGCTTTGTTTTTTATACATTTACACTATATATAAAAACGTGTAGAAAATTCTTACTGCATTAGAATGCAAACACACTGCCTTGCCTAAAAAAGAAGTTGCCACCTAGATTTATTTAAGCAAACAGAGAGGAGCCTCCTATTGGATAATTACTGCATGGGCGATAATCTTTCAACTGGCAACAAGTTATTTAACTCCAACTGCTGCAGTGAGTTGCTTCTCATTTCTTAAACAGCTATGTAGAAAAACATCTGGTGGTCGTGTAAAAGATGTTCATCTGTTTTGAGAAGGGTCAAATGATTAGCATGAATAGGGCAGTGAAAACATATAAGGAACTAAATATGACTTAAGAACTGTCAGTAGCCACATTTACATGGGCACAATTAAATTGAACGCCCAATCAGATAAAAAATTCTACATGTAAACATGTAAATCGAAGTGTTATGATCCAATTCGGCCCGATCGGAATGAAGTTTCAATCCAATTGAGAGGTGGTTTTGTCCGATCATCATTCCAACTGACGTGCATGTACACAGCCATTTGGATTATTTGAGTAAAATATTGCCCACTGCGCATAAGTGCAACAGCTAGCTTTTTCTTTTGGTGGTGACATTTTTTGGGCTGGACAATGTATAATGCCACTGAACCTACGAAGGTCCACATAAACCCAATGGTCCTCCTAAACAACAATAGGATAGAAAGCTACTAAACACACACACACCCCCACAGACAGATGGCTTACTAAAATGAAAACCTCTGTTTGGGACTGTCCTGACAAACCAGTGTCCATGTAAATCACATAACACTCAGATACACTTACACACTAATTACAAGAGTGGTTTACTAACATCTTACAACAAGTTACATATATCATCTAATTATTAAATAGAAATCACCTCTGCATTCCTGTTGGTAGAAATCAGGTTGGGATCAGTCTGCTTCAGGTTGTCTTCCGGCATCTGACTCTGGATTGCCTCAGGTGAGACCTGCATCAGACAAGCATCAGCTACTCAATACAAGTTAGTGACAAACTGCTGTTCCCATATTGTAGCTTTGTTTTTTATACATTTACACTATATATAAAAACGTGTAGAAAATTCTTACTGCATTAGAATGCAAACACACTGCCTTGCCTAAAAAAGAAGTTGCCACCTAGATTTATTTAAGCAAACAGAGAGGAGCCTCCTATTGGATAATTACTGCATGGGCGATAATCTTTCAACTGGCAACAAGTTATTTAACTCCAACTGCTGCAGTGAGTTGCTTCTCATTTCTTAAACAGCCATGTAGAAAAACACATCTGGTGGTCGTGTAAAAGATGTTCATCTGTTTTGAGAAGGGTCAAATGATTAGCATGAATAGGGCAGTGAAAACATCTAAGGAACTAAATATGACTTAAGAACTGTCAGTAGCCACATTTACATGGGCACAATTAAATTGAACGCCCAATCAGATAAAAAATTCTACATGTAAACATGTAAATCGAAGTGTTATGATCCAATTCGGCCCATCGGAATGAAGTTTCAATCCAATTGAGAGGTGGTTTTGTCCGATCATCATTCCAACTGACGTGCATGTACACAGCCATTTGGATTATTTGAGTAAAATATTGCCCACTGCGCATAAGTGCAACAGCTAGCTTTTTCTTTTGGTGGTGACATTTTTTGGGCTAGACAATGTATAATTCCACTGAACCTACGAAGGTCCACATAAACCCTATGGTCCTCCTAAACAACAATAGGATAGAACGCAACTAAACACACACACACACACACAGATGGCTTACTAAAATGAAAACCTCTGTTGAGATTGTCCTGACAAACCAGTGTCCATGTAAAGCACATAACACTCAGATACACTTACACACTAATTACAAGAGTGGTTGACTAACATCTTACAACAAGTTGCATATATCATCTAATTATTAAATAGAAATCACCTCTGCATTCCTGTTGGTAGAAATCAGGTTGGGATCAGTCTGCTTCAGGTTGTCTTCTGGCATCTGACTCTGGATTGCCTCAGGTGAGACCTGCATCAGACAAGCATCAGCTACTCAATACAAGTTAGTGACAAACTAAATTTAGACAATTCTTGAAGAAATTCAATATTTGTTTAGGACATAGTGTCAAAAAAATCTCCCCAGGAAAATTTAAATTGAGGACATGGATCCATGTCTTGTGCAGCTTGCCTGTCTACTTGTTTGTAAAAGGCATGTATTTGTATAGCAGTGGACTGCAAATTAACTGCCAGTCTCTGGCTTTTTGTCAAACTCTGACCCTGACTCTACTCCATCTACTCCACCTAACCTATAAACTGCTGCAGGCAGAAAGCTCTGGAACAACTAGTGACTCCACACCCTAGCCAAATCAGAGACAGTCAGTCTCTTACATAGTATTTTTAGACTTGGTCAGCATGCTAAGAACCACAACCAATCAGGTACTGAAAATTTGGGTGAAAATACTGAACCATGTCTTTGGAAAAGGCAGTAAAATTGAACCACACCCATCCAAGTCACACGGAGTAGTACTGTTGGAAAACCCATATTAGAAGTAGCATAATTTAAGTGAACAATAAAAATAGACTACCTCTGCACTTCTATGGAGCGGCTCAAGGTCTGGATCAGTTTGGTTTGCGTTGTTTGCTGCCACCTTACTATGCCTCTTTTCAGTCCTTATCTGCATCAGAAAATGAATAAAAGTTAGTGATAGTCTTAATTCATACCACTCAAGTAACATCAAAGGAAAGCTGAAAATTATTAGGATGAAAAAAAAAACATGCTTTGTCTTTCATAAAAATATTGTACACGTGTTAAAAATGATTGGATTTTATACTGTAAATAAACATTAACTTGTTTCTTCCATAGGCAAATTTCATAGGCATTCAAAATTTAATGACTCAATTGTCAGTCACCTTGCATCTCCATGGCCAGTCTGAGTCACCGTAATTATAGGTTACCTCTTCTCCCTGGCTTATTTCTCGAATAGCAAACAAGCACAAATGGGGCTTCCCTTGCACAGTCAGGTACTTCATTTTGGCATTAGGACAGACATGATCATCATTGACAAGTCTTCCAAGTGACCCATCTTCTTTTGCTGCATCAACACTAAAACATTAATGCATCAATTATTACATCATAAATTGTCTTGTGACTTCCAGTGACAGCACATTCAGCCATTTCTAATTTGATTGTATAATCATACTCACCACCACAGCTTTCCGTCAAAGTAGAATTCAAACAGAAACACTTTAAGTGTATCATGATAAACTCTTTGTCTCCTCTCACATTCCTCCTTACTGATCAGTTCTCCTCTATATTCCAACAGAAAGTCTCCTTTTTGAAAAGAGGTAGTTACAAAGACACCACGGCCTTGTTGAGGGAGGGAGGGAGGGGGGGAGGAGGGGAGGGGAGAGAGAGAGAGAGAGAGAGAGAGAGAGAGAGAGAATTGTCAATGTAGAGTTCAGGTTATATTTTTATTAAACTACCAGAAAATAATTATACCTTTGTAGGCACTGATGGATTTTACGTCAAATCCCACTTTGTCCTTTCCATTCTCAATGTGATATTTAGCATCTCCTTTTGGGTTAATGCGTCTTTGCCTCTCCATGTTTTACTGGCATCTGTAAAGTTAAAGTCCCATAGTCATCATCACACACGTGTGAAATTACATCTCCACACTTGACCCATCCCCACAGGGAGCTGTGAGCTACAGCAGTGGCTGTGCTCGAGAACCATTTGGTGGTTTAAACCCAAATCCAACCCATTGAAGCCGAGTGTCAAGAAGGGAGGCGTGGGGTCCCGTAAGTCTGGTCGCCTTATGACCCAACTGGGAATTGACCTCCCAGTCCCAAGGCGGGCACTAAATAATAGCAAGAGTTAAATCTTAAGGAAAGCTACAGGAAGGGTAACAAAATGATAATTCCAAGTTTCAAATAATGATAATTCTGACGTTACGTTCATGCTGCAGGTCCTGATGCTCAATTCCGAAAATCCTAATATTTTTGTGTGGTTGTTTACATTTTGACTGAAATGTGACATCAAACTCTCTCCAGTGTGAACGCTTTATGGCCCCAAAGTGACCTGCATGCGCAGAGGACAAGAAGTCACACTCACCAGAGTTGTAACTAGGAGAGGCAGAGTTGTGATGTGAAAGCCTTCACTGACAGTTCATTCACAGAATCAGGATCACACCTGTCAAGTCTCCAGTTTAGGGATGTTTTAAATACTGTAAACTATTTTATTCCTTGTTCCTGCCGTCTTCCCAAATTATTATTTACCAAAAATGTTCCAGTATAGACCCTTTTACTGTTTGTAAACAATATGACTTCAGCGAGAATGCGCGCAGCTTGGCAACAGAGAATGGCGTTGTTTCAGGCTTTATCAAGCTACGCTGCTGGGTTATCACCAGCAAATCTTGAATGTTGTATTATTAAACTCACTTTAACGAATGGCGACAGACTCCCGGATCCCTGTGGCATTACGGAATGGGTGTAAGATGTAGGTGCGTGGCCAGATATCCAGTGGCCCGATATGTACACGTTTTTAGTGGAGAGGCCCAGTAAGTACACAAGTGAGAAGCTACGGGCATACAAATCGTTAGATGCATACAACTATGTTGTCTGTGGCCACGTACAGAAAGTAAAGACTGCTATGTACGAGGCTTGGGTCATAGTAAACAAACCAGAGAACTACGTCTTCACAGCCAACTGTGCCTGCATGGCAGGGTGAGTATAGCATAGGTTTCTTTTTTTAGCGTGCTCAGAGTACAATCGTGTAAATTTTAGAGAAATACAGTTTATACTAATATGCAGTGGGAAAATACAGATGAATTAGAATGAAATGTTAATTTGAAGCATGAAATAAAGCGTATAAATTTGTTTAATTCTGTCATTTTGATGTTCCAGACTTGGGTCATGCTGCAGCCACGCAGCAGCAATTTGATTCAAAGTTGAGTTTGTGTTAGGATGGGAAAAACAGGAAAGGCTGCAGTTACACTTTTGATGGCCTGCAGCCACAGACGCCTCCGATTTTGTTCAAATGGATGTGCTCCCTTCGGAATTCTGTAAAGTTTCAGTCCACTGCTTGAAGAGAAGCGATTCTGGCATCCATACACGCAACAACCCGACTTTTTTTAAGTGCTCAGAACTTCAAAACAAAAGGTTTCAAACGCTGTTTTAGTATCGAATGTGAATGAGGAAGCCTTCACTCTCGTTGCCAGGCTGCGCGCGCAACTTTTGATGACGTAGGTAGTAAAAGGGTCTATTATGTTCATTCACAGAGAACCATCTTTAATTATTCTACAGGTTATTGTTCACCCTTCTGACGCTCAAACACACACACACACACACACACACACACACACACACACGAGTGTTGGTGAGTGGCTGCGTCTGACTGCTGACGCTCCGTGTGCGTTTTTATTTCTGCAGTGAGACAAACTCACCTCACACCGTCCAGAGTTTGTTCTTTAAAGCTTCTATTAAATCCACCATGTTGAATTATATTAACAAGTTTCCTCTGCAGAAATTAAAAGTTTACATTACAAAGTAAAAGTTCGGCAGGCGTGTTTGTTTATATCTGTACGATTCTGGGAAAAACTAACAGTTGCTCCCGATTCTTGATGCCATGGCAGCCCTTAACACAACAGGAGTGTACCATTTTCTGCAGGTTTATAAGCTCACTACCAATCCCATGATGCAATGTGCTACAGCACCAAGCTAATGCTAAACTAGCAGCTGTAGCTTCACAAATTCAATAAATGTAACCAAAAACTGTAAGATTCACAACCTTTCATTAGTTTTCCAACTATATAAAACTAATTTGAAAACGTTGCTACAAGCCAGGGCTTTCCCTATTCCCCCCACTCCCCCCCCCACTCCCCACCCTCATCAGGGACAACGCACGGTACCGAATCCATCCATACACTCACCCCCACCTCCCCAGTTATCACGTTCGACGCACGGTACCGAATCTATCCATACGCTCACCCCCACCTCCCCAGTTATCACGTTCGACGCACGGTACCGAATCTATCCATACGCTCACCCCCACCTCCCCACGTTATCACGTTCGACGCACGGTACCGAATCTTTCCATGCGCTCACCCCCACCTCCCCACGTTATCACGTTCGACGCACGGTACCGAATCTATCCATACGCTCACCCCCACCTCCCCACGTTATCACGTTCGACGCACGGTACCGAATCTTTCCATGCGCTCACCCCCACCTCACCCCGCTATCACGGATGACGCACGGTACCGAATCTATCCATACGCTCACCCCCACCTCCCCACGTTATCACGTTCGACGCACGGTACCGAATCTATCCATACGCTCACCCCCACCTCCCCACGTTATCACGTTCGACGCACGGTACCGAATCTTTCCATGCGCTCACCCCCACCTCACCCCGCTATCACGGATGACGCACGGTACCGAATCTATCCATACGCTCACCCCCACCTCCCCAGTTATCACGTTCGACGCACGGTACCGAATCTATCCATACGCTCACCCCCACCTCACCCCGCTCTCACGGATGACGCACGGTACCGAATCTATCCGTGCGCTCACCCCCACCTCCCCAAGTTATCACGGACGACGAACGGTAGCGATTCTATCAGTCCCCCCCCCCCCCCCCCCCCCCCCCCCCATCACGGATGACGCACGGTACCGAATCTACCCGTGCGCTCACCCCACCTCCCCCCCGTTATCACGGACGACGAACGGAAGCGAATCTTATAAACGTGCTCTTCCACCAGCCTCGCTACAACGCCTGGGCTTCTCTACCGCCAGGCTTAAGTTTTCTGGAGGACACCCTGCAAGCTAATGCTAAGCTAGCTAGCAACTCACTGCTAACCAAACGAACTGCATTGCATTCTCTAAATACTTGCTACAAGTCTATTGTTACATCAACGAAACATTAAAACTAGAAAATAACCGAAATGTATTAATACTATTGCTTACCTGTGAAGTTTAATCCACGGGGACCTCCATTTTGAGTGCTGCAGCTTTGAAGGCATTTAAAATTTAAAGGCACGTCTTCAGGAAGTAGCTTTGAGGGGTTGGGCTTTATGTCCCGCCCACAGCCAATCACAAAAGGGACACCCCAAAACCCCGCGAAGTGTATAAATGTGTATAAAAGTGCAATAAATACACAACATCCAGGGGCGCTGTGTTATACACATAAATACACAAAAATCATATTGAGTGGTATAGATGGACAAATTAATAAACTGAAAATAAAAGCTGTTTATATATTATTAAGTGTCAAAACACAATCCAAACTATAAAGCCACTTGTAAAGTATAGGTTTTGCCCAAAATCCATGAGAAAAAATTATTTTTAAGTACTTAAAAAAGCAAATACATACCATGATTTAGGCGGACCTTGGCCTAGTCCTCCTAAGACACAAAGGTCCTTGTAATGTCGGTACGTATTCAGGTCAAAAGTCCAGATATGCCACAAAAACACACGCACACACACACACACACACACACACACACACACACACACACACACACACACACACACACACACACACACACACACACACACACACACACACACACACACACACACACACACACACACACACACACACACACACACACACACACACACACACACACACACACACACACACGACAAAGTAATGTGTCAATAGTGGCATTGTGATTTCTTAGTAAATATTCTATTTGGTGAGAGATGAACTTTATTGTATTTATCCTAGTGGATCTATAATTAAACGGGTAAACTAGTAGTAGCACATCCAACGTCTAAGAGAGTAAAAAGTTATTATCAGGAGAGGGAGAATGTTTAAGTGGTTAGCAGCAGTGTGCTAGTCGATGGCCCCCTCCATGAGGCCACCACAGCTCAGCAGAACATCTTTGTAGCTTCTTCTGGGGAGAAAAACACTTAGAGATAAAATAAAGTTAACAGCTGAAATAGCAGGAAATAATACAGTTAAAGAGCAGATAGCAGAAGAAAGTAGTAGAGTGTGAGAAGTGGTCAGTGTGTCCTCCAGCAGTCTAAGCCTATAGCAGCATAACTACAGAGATAAATCAGGATAATCTATCCTATTTAGAGGGTTAGGGTTAGGGTTAGGCAGGGTTGCCCTGCCTCCAACATGGAGGCATGTTGGAGGCAGGGCAAGGGAGAGCCGTCTTTACCGACTGTACACTCCACCTCCCTCTACTCCCCCACTTGTCCTGATTTAGGCTAACGTTACCCATAGGCCCTATCAAATGCAAATGTTTTAAGCCTATTCTTAAAAGTAGACAAAGTGTCTGCCTCACGGACGAAGGCTGGGAGCTGGTTCCACAGGAGAGGAGCCTGATAACTAAAAGATCTGCCTCCCATCCTAATTTTAGATATTCTGGGAACCACCAGTAGACCTGCAGTCTAAGAGCGAAGTGCTCGGTTAGGAACGTATGGAACAATCAGATCACTGATGTATGATGGACCTTGATTATTAAGAACTTTATATGTGAGAAGAAGGATCTTAAAACCTATTCTGAATTTAACAGGTAGCCAATGTAGGGAAGCTAAGACAGGAGAGATATGATCTCTCTTTTTAATGCTCATCAGAACTCTAGCTGCAGCATTTTGAACAAGCTGAAGACTTTTAACTACATTCTGTGGACTTCCTGAGAGTAATGGATTACAGTAATCCAGTCTTGATGTAATAAATGCATGAACTAGTTTTTCTGCATCACTCCTGGAAAGGATGCTTCTAATCTTAGCAATATTCCGAAGGTGGAAAAAGGAAGTCCTACAAACCTGTTTAACCTGGGATTTGAATGACATGTCCTGGTCAAAGATAACACCAAGGTTCCTTACTTTGTTCTCGGAGATTAATGTAATGCCATTCAGGTCAGGCGATTGGCTAAGCAATTTCCTTTTCTGGATTTCTGGTCCAAAGATGAGAACTTCCGTCTTGTCTTGATTTAAAAGCAAAAAGTTTAGAGTCATCCAATTTTTTATGTCCTCAAGACAAGCCTGTAATCTACCCAACCGATTAGGTTCATCAGGGTTAATGGATAAATATAACTGAGTATCGTCAGCATAACAGTGGAAGTTTATCCCATGCTGTCTAATGATTTTACCAATTGGGAGCATATATATAGTAAAAAGAATTGGTCCAAGCACTGAACCCTGTGGTACTCCACAAGTAACCCTGGAGTATGAAGAAGATTTGTCATGTACATTTACAAAATGAAATCTGTCAGGCAGGTAGGATTTAAACCAGCCTAACGCTGTTCCTTTGATCCCTACAACATGTTCAAGTCTTTCTAAAAGAACATTGTGATCAACTGTGTCAAAGGCAGCACTGAGATCTAACAAGACTAGAACAGACACAAGATTCTTATCTGAGGCCAAGAGAATATCATTTGTAACTCTCACTAATGCAGTTTCAGTGCTGTGATACTCTCTAAAACCAGACTGAAATTCCTCAAACAGAGCATTAGTGTTTAAATGATGACATACTTGGATGGCCACTATTTTCTCCAGGACTTTGGATAAAAATGGAAGGTTAGATATTGGTCTATAATTCATTGGGTCATCTGGATCCAGAGAAGGCTTCTTAAGTGAAGGTTTGATTACAGCCACCTTAAAATCCTGTGGTACATATCCATTTACTATGGGGCAGTAACCAAAGGAAATGCTTCTTTAAATAATTTGGTTGGGACTGGATCCAAAACGCAAGTTGAAGGTTTAGATGAAGCTAATATTTTTGATAACTCTGAAAGCTCAACTGGATCAAAACGGTTCAAACACAGATGAGGTTCTACAGTCACCTCTGATGCTGCCTCACTTACTGAGGAAGAAAAAAATCGCATTAGGGAGGATGCTAAAGATTTTGTTTCTAATAGAATTAATTTTACTTGTAAAAATCCCATGAAGTCATTGCTGCTGAAGGCTAAGGGAATAGATGGCTCAGAGCTATGATTCTGTGTAAGTTTAGCAACTGTACTGAAAAGAAATTTAGGATTATGCTTATTCTCCTCAATTAATGCTGAAAAATAAGCAGTTCTAGTTTGTCGAAGCTTATTTTTATAAAGCACAAGACTATTTTTCTAGGACAGGTAGGCCTCCTCATGGTGTGTAGAGCGCCATGTTCTCTCCAATTTCCTAGAGTTTTGTTTTAAGGCTCGTAGATGAGAGTTAAACCAGGGAGCCAACTTCCTGTCCCTAATTACCTTCTTTTTTAAAGGGGCAACATCATCTAATGCCACACGTAAAGAGGAATTAACATGATGAACTAAGGCATCAATTTGTGAGGGGCTAGAACTGAAAATATTGCCCTCTGCTACGTTCCTCTGAGATGCTGAGGACAGTAAAGATGGAACAGTTGATTTAAAAGATGCAACTGCGTTGTCAGATAGAGACCGACTATAATGAAATTTACTTTCATGTCTCGAGAACTCAGTTATAAAAAAACTCAAAGGTTATCAGAAAGTGGTCCGAGAGGACTGGATTATGTGGAAAGATCGTTATTTCCTCACACTCTATGCCATAAGTCAGCACAAGGTCCAATGTATGATGGCAGGAGTGGGTGGAGCTATGTATTCTTTGAGTAAAACCAATTGAGTCTAAGATATTACTAAAGGCTACATTGAGGCTATCATTTTCGATGTCCACATGAATATTAAAATCCCCCACTACAATGACCTTATCAGTATTTAGCACCAAATCAGATAAAAAATCAGAGATCTGATCCAAAAACTCAGAGTAAGGGCCTGGTGGACGATATAAAACTACAAACAAGAGTGGTTTTACAGTTTTGCAATCTGGATTAGGAAAACTAAGAATAAGATGTTCAAACGAACTGTAGCTATTAATCTGTAAGGGACTGATTAATAAGTCAGAATGAAAAATGGTTGCTACTCCTCCTCCTCGCCCTGTACTTTGATCAATATGATGATTTAAATAATTTGAAGGAGTCGACTCGTTTAAGCTAACATAGTCCTCTTGCTGCAGCCAGGATTCTGTGAGAGAGAGCAAAGAGATCTGATTATCACAAATCAAGTCATTAACTAACAAAGTCTTAGAAAAAATGGATCTAATGTTCAACAACCCACATTTAATTTTTCTAGTTTTCTGCTCAGTTGAATTTGTTCTAATATTTATGAGATTTCCATGATTTGCTTTATTAAGCCTGATATTTAATCTGTGTGGTTTTGGCCGTGGGCAGGACACTGTCTCTATGGGGTAGTGGGTGGGTAACAGTACAGAAGCTGCAGAGGGGTGGGTTAAACTACGACTCTGCTTCCTGGTCTGGACCCTGGGTTGTCATGGAGGACTAATAAAACTGGCCATGTTCCTAGAAAGAAGAGCTGCTCCATCCAAAGAGGGATGGATGCCGTCTCTCCGCATCAGACCAGGTTTTCCCCAAAAAGTTTTCCAATTATCAATGTAGCCCACGTTGTTTTCAGGACACCACCTAGACAGCCAGCGGTTGAAGGACAGCATGCGGCTAAACATGTCGTCACTGGTCCGATCAGGCAGGGGGCCAGAGAAAATTACGGAGTCCGACATTGTTTTGGCAAACTTACACACCGAAGCAACATTAATTTTAGTGACCTCCGATTGGCGTAACCGGGTGTCGTTCCCGCCAGCGTGAATAACAATCTTACTGTATTTACGCTTATCCTTAGCCAGCAGTTTCAGGTAAGATTTAATGTCGCCCGCTCTGGCCCCAGGTAAACATTTAACTATGGTTGCTGGAGCCTCTAATGCCACGTTTCTGATGGAGCTGCCAATGATCAGAGTCGGCTTGTCAGTGGGTGCGTCACTGAGCGGGGAAAATCTATTAGAAACGTGGACGGGTTGGTGGTGGCCCACGGGCTGGGTTCTATGCTTCCTGCGTACCGTCACCCAGCCGGCCTGAGGTCCCGGCTGCTTGGGTTCTTCTGCTGGAGGACCGCTACGGGGTGGTTCTGAGCTAGTTAGCCCCGCGCTAGCTAAGTAGCTACGGCTGTTTACAGGTTTTTCAACAGCGCGGAGCCGGGACTCCAACTCCTCCAAAGCTACAAAAATGCTACATTTATTACACGTACCATTATCACTAAAGGAGGCAGAGGAGTAACTAAACATCTGACACAGAGAGCAAGAGATAGGAGACGGAGAAGCAGAGACAGAAGTAGCCATAGCCGTGCTGAGGCTAAGCTAACTGGACGAGCAAACTGTTCAATACCAAATAAACTGCGTGCAAACTCAAATGGTTCCCTAAAAGCTAGGTGGAATAACAGAAAATGTGTGTTTTAGCTTGCTTTTGTGCTACAATAACTCAGAGATATCCTAGTACAGAGAAATTGAATCAGCTTTAGCGAGCCCCAAACACCAAACAGCTACACGTAGTGCAACACTGAAAACAGGAAACAGGAAACGCCTTACCGCCAGGTGCAGGATATGGTCAGTGTGTGGAAAATATGTTGATGGTGATGCCAGAACGTTTTAGCACATCAACAAGTTATGCAAGACTCTGCTGATTGAAGGACAAAGCAGAAAAATAGGACTTGTGCTATTTTTCTCTTCTGGTGTGCATGTCTCAGAAGCACGTGATGTTTAAAATGAAAGCTTTGAGACGAGTTCTCAGAGCCTCGAGCACTCTAAAGTTCTGTTTCTGTCTTACGTGTGTTTTTGTTATGTGTTACTTCCCAAAAACACTTACTTTCTTTTTCTCAAAAGAACAAAAAACTTTAAAAAATCACTGATTTCCACTAACTTGGTCTTTTGGACATGGAGGGTAGCATCAGCTAACATCCAGAACACAAGAAGAGCATGTTTGTTTTCTTTTTGTTGGTAGACTCATGTTTACCATGTCCAGCCTGCTTAACTTCCTGGTTTTGTTGTGAAATCGGTGTCATCAGAACATGCTGACATATAACATATTAACACAAGTTTTACAAACAACAAGAACTTCATATCAAAGATACTTTATTAATCCCAGAGGGAAATTAGAGTTTCAGGACACACAATTCTGAGATCAGACATGCATGGGCAAGACACATGACAAGAATTGGTGACTGTGGTCATTCGCAACCTGAGTCGCGCTACCTTAATAGAGATCAGAGGGTTACATGAGGATTGGTTCAGGTGGAGGAAAAAAGGCACTTCAGAGTTACCCTCCACCAGGAGGGCAGCTTTGCTCTGCAAAAAAATACCTCAGACAGAAATGCAACAGACTTCAGACAACACAACACACCAGATTCAGATAAGAACTTGTTTGGTGGGCCAGACAGATAATTTCCTCTCTGCCTTAGAGTTCTGTTGGTCATCAACCCCTCTAGATCCAATAATGGCGTAAATTCATCTATCCCGATCCGTGCTGATCCGTCAACTCTATCCTTGATGGCATCAACCTTCTCTGCCAGAGTCTGAAACTCGCCAAAGTTCCAAGCTTACGACTCCTCGACAATTATGTGTTTGTGCGTTCACAGCGCGGTGCAATCCATCCCCGAGCTCCGGGAAAGAGCCAATATTCCTCGACAGCTCGTTAATTTTCCGGTAAGCCAGGTAACCACTCAGGCCAAAAAGCAGGAAACCTGACACCAACACCACGAATATCCACACGTCTTCAGAATCCTCTACAGACAGCTGAGAGAGGCAGCTCAGGTTCCACTGTTTCCAGAAGTCCATGATATACCCAACTGGCTCTGTCCCAGAGGGGCCCCAGGGAGCCCCTTCTCCCGTTCTCATCGTTGAGAAAATCTTGTCAGTCGCATTAAGAGACCAACAATAATTTCCAGTTTACAGAAAAAATGCAGAAGCACCGTCCACCCAAAGATAAAGAGCCTTGGGATGAGATAGGAGAGGAGGGGAAAAGTGTCCGTACTCTCCAAGAGCCGGAAGAAGATGCTTTTCTTTTTCTTTAACTAGTTTGTTAAACCAACAACATTTCATCTGAAAATCAAATTACATGAAGTGTGTGTGTGTGTGTGCGTGTGCGTGTGTGTGTGTGTGTGTGTGTGTGTGTGTTAGATGTATGATGCAATAGATTACAAGCATTGCCAGATCACCAGGTCTGCAGCGGATGAGTTTAACCTCTGTGGAACCAGAAGGAACTTCAGCACCATGCAGGAGCTACTCTGCTGCTACCAGAAGGAAACCGTGCGCTCTGATGGCATCATTTTCCAGTTCAGCAAGTGCTGTCCACCTCTACCCAAAGGTGAAATAAACTCAACTTTTTTCATGTCTCCGTCCCGCAGCGCTCCTCTGTGAGAGCGGGGGTGGGGGTGGGGGGGTTGCACACGTTCCGCTGTTGTTTCTCACCAGTATCAGCTGATGGAGGGCTCTAGTTTTGTTGCACCGTTAGTGTCAGCGGACATGGTAGGGTCGGGGAGGGGGGTGGGGCATGACGCTTAGCCTGGTGGGCCGCCAGGCTTATGAAGCGCTGGGGGAAACCCTGGGAGCCCTTATTCTAGTTTAGTTCCACTCTGTGACAGTAGGTGGCAACATGTGTCCTTTTGTGTTAGCTTTCCTGGTGTTAGCATTTAGCAACTCACCAATAGTAAATGAATGCTGGTGGGAGTGAGGCTGATGGATATATGAACAACAGCTGAAGGAATGGACATCAACACTGCTGCAACACTGTCCATTTGGTACGTAATGTGCTGTTTGGTGTCGCATGTCAGATCACGCAGAGTCTTGTGATGGTAAAGTTATCAGAAGGTCTAGTAACTTCCTGAAGGGGGATACCCAGGCCGGTCAGAGCTCATATTGTGTAGAAGTGCATTTAAAAAGTCAGATTTCAGTCAGACTAAGGTGTATACTTGCATTTAAACTTTAGTTGCTGGAAAGCATTCATTTGGTTTTCTCTTATTGCATGTAAACGCCCTGGGTCAGTCAGGAACCGTCGTGATCCCATTTCCTTTTGAGCTTTCCTTTGTTTATTTTGGGACATCGCTTTTCTGAACTGTTATTCAGTCAGTGCGTTTACATGTGCATCTTGGTTGATCTATAGACTGGGATCTTATCCTAGTTTACTTGGACGTTAAAATATCAACTGTCAGATGAAGTTCCTTCCACTCCAATACAGCAGGTGGCGGCATGCGCTCTTTCTGTGTAAGCCGTCAAATTCCATTGTTTGGTTCTTTTCTAAACGCATCGTATTAAACATTTGTTTTTACTTTTTAATCTGACAGCATCTGTGCTCTGAGGAAGGCTCCAGTTAGCCAAAACGTATCTTCTCTTATTTATAAAGCACATTTCAAACACGGGTGTGCTTTACAAGTAACATGAAATGGCACAACAACAACAACAACAACCATGAGAACATAAAATATACACAAATAAAAGTATAATTTAGAGCTAAAAGGAAAAGACAGAATTGAGGTAGAGCACTTGCATCACAGATTACAGCGGAGACGATGCAGCATAAGAAACTTCATTCACAGGCTGATGAGGTCATGAGGGTTTTTGGTTTAGGGTTAAACAACTCTAGGGTTGGGGCAGATCTGAGGTCATGGGGAAGCTGACTCCATATGTGAGCAGCATGGTAACTAAAAGCATCTCCACCGTGTTTGGTTCTGACCCGAGGTTCTACCAGCTGATTGTTTCCTAAGGATCTCAGAGCCCTGTTGGGTGTGTATACAGGAATGAGATGGGACGTGTATTTTGGTCCCATGCCACTGAGTTATTTATAAACTAGTAGGAGCACTTTGGCATCTATTCTGTGGTTTACTGGTAACCAGTGTAAGGATCTAAGAACAGGAGTGATGTGCTCCGTTCTCCTAGTTCTTGTTAAGACTCCAGCAGCAGCGTTCTGAACAAGCTGCAGTTGCTTCACAGCGTTTTGGGGAAGACCAGTTAGGAGACCATTGCAGCAGTCGCCGGCCTGCCAGACTCTTCCTGTTTAATTCTGCAGAGAAAGGAAAAAACTATCACATCAGTTTCTGAATTAAACAGGAAGAGTGGCAGGCCAGGCTGTTGCAGCAGTAGCTGTTTACTTTGCTGTGTTCAGAAAAGAACCAAAAAACGATGTCGGGACTCTTTGGGTCAGCTTAGAGCAACACAAATGGTCAACAAATGCTGGCGTTTGCAAGGAGAGGAAGTTTAAACGGGACATGTGCAGTGGCTGGAGGAAAGGGCACCAGCGCTGCAGCACAGCTGATTTAGTACGTACTGTTTGTTGTTACACGTGTTACTTTGTGGCCGTGGTGTTATCAGAAAACCACTGCTGTAGTCTTCACTTCTGGAAGTGAGGAACAACAGATGAGTTTCTGGTGTAGGCTTTACTCCCATCACCACTTCTGATGATCTCTTTCCTGGTTTTTGTTAAACCAGGTTGGAAAATCGATCTTATTTTTTCCTTTCACCCAACAGAAAAGTCGTGCCTGCTCGTGTGCAGAAGCAACAAGGCTTCAGAAGTGCCTCTGTCTCCGTCACTTCAGCGACACGCCATTAGTCAGATGGTGTTTCACAAGATCAGGAAAGAAGATCTGGAGTTTGTAAGCTTTGCGTGCATCAGTGTTAGATTTACCTGCGTAAACATTCACCAGCAGAACATTTAAATGTACTTTTTTATTTAAGGGTCACATGTTTCATAAGTCACCTGATCTCTATGTAATCATGCTCTTGTCTTCAGATGGAGAGTCTCGGTCAGGGAACATTTACAAAGATCTTCAAAGGGGTACGGAAGGAGCTGGGAGACTATGGACAAATGCACCAAACAGAAGTTGTCATGAAGGTTCTGGATGTGGCTCACAGGAATTACTCTGAGGTCTGTGACTCTTCCCCAGTCAATCCAGCATTTTCATGCAAATGTTTTGGTTCTCTCAGAAAACTTGTTCTTTAAATGTCTGCTTCTGATTTTAGACCTTTCACTTTCATTTTACTCAAATTACATAAACGGTTTTAATGAACCCTTAGTCAGAATGTGTGCAGCTGAAGTGGCATCACGACCTGCAGAGGAACTGGAGCACACCTTCGCTGCTCGTTTTTGTTTTGGTTGTGTTTTATTTCGTAGGTTGAAATGGTGTTTATGTTTATTTATTTAGCAGACTTAAACATAAACATAGGTTGAAACTGTGAAATGCTATAAGCTGATGAATGAGTCCTCATCATGAACCCTGAGTGGCGTTGGTTCTGATGAGCAGCGTAAGCGTTAAAATATTCTATAAACGCTGACGAGGCAGATTTCTGTACCTTATGTGTGGCTCAGAAGGACGACGATAAGCACGACCTCATCGGTGACTCGGTGGCAGAATAAAAATCTCTTTCTTCATGCAGAAAAACAGATTTGATGATTTCCATGGGGGCAGGATGTCTGCGTGAAGAAGGTCTTTAGGATTTCCTGGCATGTCTGATGTTTCACTCATGATGTCACATCAAAGCTATAAAAAGGGCACCATCGTAATGTTTGTTGTGCGGGAATTTGGTTTTTTCAGACGATTTCAAATGAAAGATTCTCTAAAAATCCACAAGAAGCAAAGCGATTAGATTCTTATTTAACCTTCGCTTTGGCATATCAAGTGTCATTCATTAAAAGGGGCTTATGTTGGTGATGAAAGAGCGAATAGAAATCAGGATTTAAATGATTCTTTAGAAGTTAAAACAATTCAAGTTGATGCTCGATGTCATCAATCTGGATCCTTTTACTTAAAAAGGTAAAAATGATGATCTAACTGAACATGAATCCAGTTCGTTTGCATCTCTGACCCAGGAACATTCTTCTGGTCTTTGTTTACCGTTTGTTTTTGTTTACGGTTTGTCTTTGTTTACTGTTTGTCTTTGTTTACTGTTTGTTTTTGTTTAAGGTGTGTTTTTGTTTACGGTTTGTCTTTGTTTACGGTTTGTTTTTGTTTACTGTTTGTTTTTGTTTACTGTTTGTTTTTGTTTACTGTTTTTTTTTGTTTAAGGTGTGTTTTTGTTTACAGTTTGTTTTTGTTTATGGTTTGTCTTTGTTTACTGTTTGTTTTTGTTTAAGGTGTGTTTTTGTTTACGGTTTGTTTTTGTTTAAGGTGTGTTTTTGTTTACGGTTTGTTTTTGTTTACGGTTTGTTTTTGTTTACTGTTTGTTTTTGTTTACTGTTTGTTTTTGTTTACGGTTTGTTTTTGTTCACGGTTTGTTTTTGTTTACAGTTTGTTTTTGTTCACAGTTTGTTTTTGTTTACTGTGTGTTTTTGTTTACAGTTTGTTTTTGTTTACGGTTTGTTTTTGTTTACGGTTTGTTTTTGTTTACGGTTTGTCTTTGTTGACGGTTTGTTTTTGTTGACTGTTTGTTTTTGTTTACGGTTTGTTTTCCTTTTTGGGAAACGGTGAGCTTTTCAGATGATCTGATTCTGCAAACGCTTCAGGATTCCTGAAACTGTGGAGCTACTGAAATGTGATTGTTCCACCCGTATGTCTGATGGTGTACACTTGTATATATTCTGTCCTCTGTCTACATTTAAACGTGCCGTTTTCATTTTGTTTACTTTCTGCAGTCTTTCTTTGAAGCGACCAGTATGATGAGCCAGTTGTCCCACAAGCACCTGGTCCTGATCTATGGCGTGTGCGTCTGCGGAGAAGAGAGTAGGTCTGCTGTAGAGCATTCATAAAACTCAACACTCGCGTGGAGAAGACCCTTAGCCGTGTCAGTTAGGCTCAGCGGTAACCCTAACCTCCTCCTGTAACATAAACCTGTAATCAGTCTGCTGGTGTTGGGTCAACCTGAGCAGGATCTTTAGACTAAAACAACGTTATCACGATCAGAGTCATGCTGTTATTGTCTTCGATATGTTAAACATATTTAAAAGTCCAGCGCTTAGTTTGATTGTTCTCGTTTGTGTTTGATAAGAAGTGTTTACAAAGAGCAGCAAACGTTGTCTTCATGGCCCGTTTATATTTCTTTACTAAGAAAGGAGAAATGTATAACGAAAGTGCAAAGTTGGTCCTAAACGAAGAGACGATGTTAAAACGTCTGAGCATTTTCATGTCTTCATTTAGAACGTTCTCCTGGAAACTGGGATATAAATGTATTTATTTTATTTGTAGACATCATGGTGCAGGAGTATGTGAAGTTTGGCTCTTTGGACACTTACTTGAAGAAGAACAGGAACACTATAAAAATCCAGTGGAAGCTTGAAGTGGCGAAGCAGCTGGCCTGGGCCATGAACTTCCTGGTACACATCTGTACTCTGTCACATTTGACCTGACTAGCCTGTTGCTAAAAATGACCAAATCAGTTATTTTAATGAGATGTCTTCATAGCTAACCCTTCCTGAACCTGCAGGAGGAAAAGCACCTTTTTCACGGGAATGTGTGTGCCAAAAATGTCCTGCTGATGAGGGAAGAGCAGAGAGGCGGGAACCCTCCTTTCATCAAGCTCGGTGACCCTGGGGTCAGCATCACTGTCCTGCCTAAAGAAAGTGAGTTCACCTCTAACCCCTGCTGAGTTGTTATAAGCTTGTGTAAGCAGCAGGGGGCGCTATGATGCTGTCTGGTGAGCCTGTAGTGCACTTAGGAGAATGAACTCAAGTACAAGTCGGTACATTTTTATTTGATCTATAAATGCATCAAGTCAGACATTTTCCAGCAACTGTTTACTGAAATATTTGAACTGTTTTGGTTTCAGTCCTGCTTGAGAGGATCCCGTGGGTTCCCCCTGAATATATCAAAGAACCTGTGAAACTCAACCTGGCTGCAGACAAGTGGAGTTATGGCACCACGTTGTGGGAAATCTGCAGCAGTGGAGAGAAACCTCTAGCAACACTTGACAACGCCAAGGTAGGCTGGGGTGACATCAGATTACATGTGCATCCATTAGGGACGGACTTCCTACATGAAATCTTTGCGCTCATGTTTTCACATCAGGATGTTTTTGATGCTTTCTATTGTGGGTCTTAATCTAAAAATCCAACTGATGCTCTTTAGAAAATCCTTTTCTACGAGGATCAACATCATCTTCCTGCACCAAAGTGGACAGAGCTGGCTAATCTGATTACCAGCTGCATGGACTACGAGCCCGCCTTCAGACCCACATTCCGCGCAGTAATCCGCGACCTCCACGGCCTTTTCACACCAGGTGGGTGTGTTCATTTGGGTTTACTGTCCAGAGATGATGATTTTAATGTAGGTTTCCCCAGATGGTGTTCTGTCGCACACATGTATGTTTGTCCTTCCATGTGTTTAGACTACGAGTTGATCATGGATGAAATACCACTAATCAGGACAGCTGCTACGTTTGAGGGCCAGGAGCCTGCTCTCTTTGAAGAAAGACACCTCATTTTCTTACAGTTACTCGGCAAGGTGAGAAGACGTGTGTTTGTGTGTGACTTAAAAAAGGTAGGCCTAGGATTCAAACAACGAGTTAAACACGTGTGGTTGTACGTCTTCACTGTTCAGGGGAACTTTGGCAGCGTGGAGATGTGTCGCTATGACCCGCTCCAGGACAACACGGGGGAGGTGGTGGCTGTGAAGAAACTCCAGTACAGCACCGCCGAGCACATCCGAGACTTTGAGCGGGAGATCGAAATTCTAAAATCTATTCAGCATGAGAACATCGTCAAGTACAAGGGTGTTTGTTACAGCGCAGGTATGGCTGGGATCCAGGGACGGGGGCATGATCCATGAGAATGACATCATGAGTGTTTTTGAATCAGATCTCTGAATTATAAAAGAATCACAACTCCAACCCAGAAACAAGTCAGAAAGGATAAAAACAAGCTTTATTCACTCTGTAATAGCGAAGGACCCCCCCCCCCCCCCCCCCCCCAAACCCTGCTACTATTTCTGGTTTCCCTTTATTTAGTGTTTGACGTTAATGTTACAAATCATGCGGTTTAAAGGTGTCCTAGACCTTCACTTGTTGTTGTTAAACAAAGGCGGCTGGAGCTGATGAACGTAGCGTCTCTGACCTGCTTCCTGTGTAAATTAGTAATGTTGTGATGGCCACGGAGAACCGGTTCCTCAGACCCACCGCCTTAAATCTGCATGTCCCAACTCACTTCAGCAACAGAACGCTGGTCGCAGTAACGCTAATCACACAGCGCCAGGCCAAGCTACTGCTAAGGCTAACTCTAGCTACTGCTAACGCTAGCTTTAGCTGCTAGCACCTCTGTTGGACCAAGAGTAAAACACTGATGAATGTTGGAGAACCACCCGTTCCAGGATGACTAAACATTCACTGTGTGTTCTGCACATGCTGATATTGCCATGTGTTGTTCAGCCCTACGTTATGAATGAATGAATGAATGAATGAATGAATGAATGCCAGATAGAGCCGCAGCTGTTCCCTTGCGACCCCGCTCTTCCACACACTCCCGCACCGTGTGAGACCCAGGAGAACATTTTTAAACGTGTGAAGACGACCCAGCAAACAGTTTCCCATAAATTTAGTTTCATGGTTTTTTTATTTGTGTGTCGCTCAGATCAACGTTTGATGTTTATTTTTTTCTTTTCCAGGTCGACGGAACCTTCGACTTATTATGGAATATCTTCCTTTTGGAAGTCTGCGAGACTACCTCATAAAAAACAAGGAGAGGATAGACGACAAAACACTCGTCCATTACGCCTCTCAGATCTCTAAGGTGCTGCTGCCTGCTTGTTTGTCTTTAACAGGTCTGCTGTGTCTGACCAGTGCATGCGGTTGTTTTTATTCAATCTTCTAACAGGGTATGGAGTACCTTTCGAGTAAGCGGTACATTCACAGAGACCTGGCAACACGAAACATCCTTGTTGAGAGTGAGCTGAGAGTGAAGATCGGCGATTTTGGCCTCACCAAAGTTCTGCCTCAGGACAAAGAGTATTACATGGTCAAAGAGCCAGGAGAGAGCCCAATATTCTGGTCAGATCACGTTTTGCTGCTCTGCTGATTCGACTCAAACATGAAAAAACAAAAAGCTTTAACCTTTAAACTGAAGTGAATCATTTTTTGCGTAGAAGCTAACCTAATGCAGCAGTTTTCATTTGTTTAGGTGTCCAAGCTGTGATGCTTCTTATATGTAGCCATGTCAAGGCACTCATATGATGATATGTGTGCTCGGTAGGTATGCCCCTGAGTCACTGACAGAGAGCAAGTTCTCTGTGGCGTCGGACGTCTGGAGCTTTGGAGTGGTGCTTTATGAGCTCTTCACCCACAGCGACAAGAACTGCAGTCCTCCTGCAGTAAGTAATAAAACACAATTACACGCCTGTGCTGGGTTTTAACCTTCATTACCAAGTAAATGTTAAAACCACCGAGTAGTGACTCCCAACGACCTTTACTGCTCGCCTGTTTGCCTCTTTGCACCAATTTGAATTCAAACATCTAAGTAGAGGCCTTCGAGACAAGTTGTGGTCTTGTTCTTTGGCCTGAGTTTGGGCGTCGTCATCCCGCTTGCATTCGCCCCGTTTCCCGCTCTACCTGTAGCATCTGTTGGGGCTGCAGTAACTGGAAGGTCACACCAGAAGCAGATTGTATAACCTGGAAGTGATAAAGCATCGATTAAAATAAATATAAATCGAGCGTTTTTAATCAACTATTTATTAAAATGATGTGAGTAATCATGTCAGCCCTACGTACGAGCGAGTCATAAAACTGATGACCTTTGAACATCTAGCTAACAAATCTTGCATCCTTTTGCTTTCTGCAGAGATCTTTGGTGTCCAATCCTGGTCCTCAAGGGCCACCGTCCTGCATGTTTTACATGTTTCTTTTAACCTTGACCAAAGTGCCATGAACTTAGCATAGCATAGTTTATTTATATAGCACATTTAAAACGCAGCATCAGGCTAAACCAAAACACAACCATTCGAAAGAACTATAACAGAGGATAAAAATCCCAATCAAAGGCAGATAAAACATGATGAATACTAAGAACACATTAAAACAACGGTACAATAAAACACTAAAACGAGTCACTGTCTAAAAGCCAAAGTGTAAGAGTGGGTCTTTAGCGAGGTTTAAAAACCGCCAGAGACGGAGCCTGCCGATCTCCAATGGGCAACGAGTTCCACAGCTTTGGGGCAGCATGGACAAATGCTCATTCACCCCGCGATTTGAATCGCATCCGCGGCGTGCACAGCAGCAAAAGGTCTGCCGACCTCAACGTGCGCGTGGGCACGTATGGAGTGAGCAGGTCAGAGAGAGAGGGAGGTGCCAGGTCATTGAGAGCTTTAAATACAAAGGTCAGTAACTTAAACTGCACTCTGAAAATGACAGGGAGCCAGTGAAGACATGCCAGGACAGGGGTAATATGGCTACGTCGGTGTGTACTCGTCAAGAACCTGGCAGCAGCGTTCTGGACGACCTGCAGTCATGAAAGTTGGTTTGAGTTGCCAAAAGGAAAGGGTAGTTTTAGGAATTTTTGCCATCAAACATTATTACACTGAGTCGAACTAGAGATTCCTGTCGTTTCAGCATCAGAATGGCCGTAGTTTTCACCAGTAATGAGTTTAAAGTGGATTTTTCTGTTTTATTGAGCTAAAAGTTCTTATTACTCCCTTTTTGTTTTCTTTACAACTTTCTGACCTACAGAAATATTTGTCCGAATCCACCAGAAAATCAACCTTTTTTTCATATTTGAGCCAAACTGGCGTCTTAACTGCAAAATATTAGAAGTTAGAAAGTAAAAAGGCAGCAAGGTAGAAAGTAGCAGCATCCTGGAGGAGCCAGTGTTAGCCGTTAGTGTTCGCATCCTTGCCAGTCAGGTTGGCTAACCTCTAGTCAGGCTCCAAGTCAGCACCACCTCCACCCAGCCAAGAGGAAGCGCTCTGACCAGCAGCAACACCCGTCGAATCCAAGCATTTTGTTTCCAGGTTGAGGGAATCACTCTTAAAAATAACTTGTATTACATTCAATAATAACAATAGTATCAGCGGTAATAGTTTACTACATGTGCCCATCTTTTCTCTGGAAGGTGTAAAATGGCATGTTACAGGTCACATTTGTGTAAATGTACCTGTTTTAGAAATCAAATCAATATAAGAGAAGTTGTGTATAATTACGTCTTTAGGGTAGAGCCCTGCACGGGCCTAAAATCTGAGCCCGTGCAGGGCTCTACTTTAGGGTTTTTGAGTCTTTAGTCTGAGAGACGAGTCTATCCCGGTGAAAGAGCCTCGAGTCCTGAGCAGACATGTAGAAACTGTTGAGCTGAGCAAATACATCAAACACAAGTCAGCTCTCACAGTATCTTCATGTGGCATCAGAGTATAAAGTTTCTGACAAATGGAGGAACAAGCTGTAACACGTGAGTCATGTCAACAGGTAAAGGAGGGTTGTCTGCCTGTGGGGAGTCGTAACTGATGGTGTTCACCTGCATGATTGATGTTAAAGCCTTCATTGTCTCTGGGAACATTATGTACTGCAGAGCTGGACGTCTGCATTCAGAAGGCGTAACTAAACATTCCTTCATCTTGCTCATTTTACTGTGTAATTTAGTGATTTTTCATTATCCTGCATCAGCCCGATGTTGAGCCCCGATAATACAAACGATGACCTGTTCTGCATGTGAGACAGAGTAGTTCACCACATCAGCACATGTACAGGGTCCGAGAACCCCACTGAGGAGCGTGTGCCTGAAAGTAGGGCCGTGCCATCTGACGATATAACATCGTTAAGGACTATAAAGTGATGACGATCTACCGAAGCTCGGAGATCGTCTGCGTTCTGTCACCTGTGCCTTTATTTCTGGATGCGTCTGTCGGCACGACGGCCACACCGAGAGCAAGCAGGCAGTGAGTTGGTTGGTTAGGGTTAGGGTTAACCCTGGTTAACGCTGGGGTGTTCGTTAGAGCAGAGGAAAACAATCGATGCAAAGATTAATCTTTGAAGAAGCACGCCATGCTAGGTTATAGCGGCTAGCGTTAGCCACTAGCTTGCTCTGTCTCTACGCGGTCATTAAGTGTGTTCTCACGCGTCAGCTCGACCAGGGAACCTCTGGGTTCATGTTGTGCTCTAAACTTTACATTTAGCTTTGTGACTTTTATTATTTGGAGACGTTTGTGTGTGTTAGCGAGCTTTTCCCTGTGGCTGCCAAACCCCGCCCTCGCGTAATCAGGAAAAGGCTACGGAGAGCAGTGAGGGACAAATGGTGGGCGTAATAGGGAGTGTAATTCTGACTATGAGGATACATCGTGAATTTAGCTTAACAGGATAGTCCTGCAGCGCTCCTCTGAGAGAGTGGGGGTGGGGTGGTTTCTCACCAGTAGCAGCTGATGGAGGGCTCTAGTTTTGTTGCGCCGTTCGTGTTGTCGTGTCAGCGGACACGGTAGGGTCGGGGAGGGGGGCGGAGCATGATGCTTAGCCTGGCGGGCTGCCAGGCTTATAAAGCGCTGGGGGAACCCTGCTAGTACTTCAGGCTCTTATTATTCAGTATTTCCGCTCCGCCTCCCTTTTTTAATGGTTTCTAGTCTAAACAGTAAAATGCTGGAAGTAAGTGTTTTAAATCTTTCCTCACTTATTGGCTTGCCACAGTAGTTTGAGTAGTTAAAGAGCAAGTCACCCCCACATCAACTGTTTTTTGCTGATGAACCATATAAGTGAGTCTCTAATCATGATGGTAAATGGCCTGTATGTGTGTAGCGCCTTCTTAGGGTTCTACGACCCCCCCACCCCCGCTTCACAACACAATCAGTCATTCACCCATTCACACACTGGTGGTGATGAGCTACGATGTAGCTACAGCTGCCCTGGAGCACACTGACGGAGGCGAGCCTGCTGAGCACAGGCGCCACCGGTCCCTCCGACCACCACCAGCAGGCAAGGCAGGTTAAGTGTCTTGCCCAAGGACACAACAGCAGAATTCTCTGGTCGGAGCCGGGATCTAACCTGCAACCTTCTGATTACTGGACAACCTGCTCAACCTGTTGAGCTGCTGCTGTCGTGCTGTGTAAATAGTGTAGTCGATAATTTGGCACTTTAGTGCATCTTTGTTAAAATTTAAATTTTCTGCCTAAAACTGTCCATGTTGCGCCATCGTCAGGTAAAAATTCTGCACTGCATTTAAATTTAAATCTGCCATTGCTATTGGCTAAGAGCTGGTACATTATGATGTCACAATGTCTCTGTGAGGCTGTGTATTAGGTTAGCGGCTCTGCCCTCTTGGTCTGCCAGGCAACAGGAAGTGGGAGTGGAGGAAGACTCTGGGAGGGGTGACTTGTAGCCTGGCCTGCCAGACTCCTCCTCTGTTTAAATCTGCACAGAGAAATAACCCCGCCCAGCGAGAATTCTAACCGAGCCAATCAGCGCTGAGCAGCGTACGTCACACCACAACGCCGAGTTCGTCTTAAGCATGGCGACTGAAGCGGCGGCTCTTTCCTCTTCTAAATGACTCGGATGTCTTTAAAACCACAACAAGTAGAAGCGCTAAAAGCCTTTCTTCTAAAGAAAGATGTCTGCGCTGTCGTCAGGCTCCATTTTTACTACAGCTAAAAACTACAGCGTCGCGGACGTCACACACAGCGACGCTCAGTTTCTCATAAACAAGGAAGACCGTGGCGGAGTTTGCTGCGGCTCTTTCCTCTGCTCTAAATGACTCGGATGTCTTTAAAACCACAACAAGTAGAAGCGCTAAAAGCCTTTCTTCTAATAAAGTAAAAGATGTTTGTGCCGTTGCCAGACGCTATTTGTTTTACTACAACTAGAAACTACCGCGCCGCGCGGTACAGTCGGGATTTCCGTCTTATTTCTGATTGGTCATTTTTGAGCTGCCTAGTCCCGCCCCTCAAGTGCCGCTCTGCCGGTGAGTTACCAGACTCTCTCTCTGTGCAGAGTTAAACAGAGAGAGAGTCTGGCAGGCCAGGCTAGGTGACTTGCTCTTTAAATTTCCAAAAGCCATTGCTAAATATTTCTCCTACATACTTCTCTAAAGGCTCACTCACTTTCTCTTCTTCTGCCTCAACTTCCTGCTCAGGTGTTTATGTCGATGATGGGCAACGACAAGCAGGGACAGCTGATTGTCTACCACCTTATTGAGCTCCTCAAATCAGGCAGCAGGCTGCCTCAGCCCCTGGGCTGTCCCACAGAGGTAGGACCATCTATTCTTCTAAAAGCTCCGTTTGCCTTCTAACTGCAGTTCGTTCCAGGGCCTGATGTGAGGTTTAATAATAACCTGGATATGTTCATCATGAACAATTTAGCTCATTCTTTGCTTAATGTAAAGATGCAGCGTAGAAACTGCTCCAGTTGTAAAACCTGACCGCAACCCACAGCAGGCTGATGAGTTCTGACGGTTTTTATTTCAACATCACAGATTTTTGTTTCCTCTTCTCATGAATGGGAAGTTTTCTTGCTCAGCCCGAGTCCTCATCAGTCATTTAATACTTCTGCAGAGGCCTTTTGTTTTCTCCACCAGCTGAGATGTGACCAAGCATGTGTCCAGATTGTTGAGTAACCAGCTCTGTCCTCCCACTGTTCTCTTTTCCTTTACTGCTAATAGTTTCATCTTCCTCCTCTGTCCCTCAGATGCACGAGATCATGGAAGAGTGCTGGGATAAAGACCCCACCTTGCGTCCTTCTTTCAACGAGCTAGCACTACGCATCGACCTGTTCAGGGACAGCAAGGAGTTTTAAAATATGGTCACGCTCCCTCCTCAACCAAGACACTCTAAACGTTGTTGTGGCTTAGGGGCGAAAGCCAAAGGGAGCATGTGGCAGAGCAGCACGACTGGAATAATGGTGGCATGGACTAAAGAACTACTGCCGAGGTGCCTTTAACCAAGGCACTTTTCTGTTGGGGAGCAGCTTAGTGGCCTGCAGCAGGTCAGAAGTGGTCAAACTGTAGAAGGTGATGTTGCTGAAATGAGCAAAAGAATTTGGTCAAAGTTTTAAAATAAGACTTGAAGACTTTATTGACTGTGAGAAGACTGTTGCCAGACCTGAAGCTAAAGATGCTTGTGCTAAACAAGTTCTGTGTGTGCGTGCGTGTGTGTGCGTGTGTGTGTGTGTGCGTGCGTGTGTGTGCGTGCGTGCGTGCGTGTGTGCGTGTGCGTGTGTGCGTGTGCGTGTGTGTGTGTGTGTGTGTGTGTGTGTGTGTGTGTGTGTGTGTGTGTGTGTGTGTGTGTGTGTGCGCACGCGCGCGTGCGTGCGTGTGTGCGTGCATGCGTGTGTGCGTGCATGTGTGCGTGCATGCGTGTGTGTGTGTGTGTTTATGTTGTCCATACAAACAGCTAGCTGGCCTAGCTACTGCAATCCTCTTTTGCCACCAGGGAAGAAGTTAACATAAACAATAGTCTATTTTTATGTTTAACCACATTGTAGAAGTGTAATTGTGTACATATGTGCTGAAAAATTTTATAATTTTATAAAATTTAAATATTGTAATGCTATATTTTACATGCCAGTGAACTTCATTGTAAATTAAGTTCATACTGAGCTGATTTTCAAAAATCTGTTTCCAACATGAGAGGTGGTGTGAAAATTAAAACATATCTGTGAAGTGATTTTTTTTTTGTTTGTTTGTTTTGTTTTGGTGTCCGTAGCTTCCGCAGAAATCCTATTGTGTAATTTAATATGCTGGCAGTCACAAGGCCCGCTTGGAAATTAGAAACAAAACACTGCTTTCATTTATTAGCCCTCAATTCCTGACAGTCGGCATATGAATCAAGAAGTTTTTCAGTTTAAAGAGCAAGTCACCCCCTACCAGAGTCTTACTCCACTCCCACTTCCTGTTTGAAAAATGCAACAAATGCTGTTGCCTAGCAGACCAAGAGGGCGGAGCCGCTAACAAATATCATATGGTACCAGCTAATGTTCTAGGGTACCTCTTAGCCAATAGCGATGGCAGATTTTCATTCAAATGCAGTGCAGAGTTTTTACCTGACAACGGCTCTACACTGACAGTTTTAGGCAGAAAATTTACATTTTAACTAAAGTGCTAAACTATTGACTACATGTGTCTGCAGCACGATTAGACACACATTTATATACCGTAGTTCATCAGAATAAAAGTTGATTTGGGGGCGACTTGCTCTTTAAAAGATGCCGAGAAGAAAATAAAACCCACAACAGTAATATTGGTGTAATATTCAACATATTTTTTCCTAAATGTTTAATATAAATGTCCTATCAAAACATACTCATGTAAGATGGGACATTTGCAAATTCTACCAAATGGTGATGTGATATTTGTTTAGAAATATTTTTTAAATTTAACAGCATTAATTTTCCATTATTGGTTATAAACTGACTAAATTGGAAAGAAATTTTATAAACCTTCAGAAAAAAGATCTCTTAAATTTAGTTATATGAATGAAACGTGAAGTTATCATTTGAAACTTGAGATTGAGCAATTTCATATTTTATTTTGAAATCCGGATGTTACCTAGGGTTAGCTTTAGCTTTACCAAATCCTTGAACGTTAGCTGTTTATTTTTCCACAAATTAAAGGTAATTTCAAGCTTAAGTTTGCAGCGGTCTTAAAGCTAATGCACTGTAACATTTGTACGATAAATGCGAGGAATGTGTGCAGCTATAAGGAGACATGTTGAGGTTTTCCGGGTCGAGGCGTTTCGGTGGAGTTGCCGCCGAAGCCGCTTCTCAGCCTTCTGAGACGAGAGGAGTTGGACCAACCGCAACAAAAACAGATGTGAGGCTTCCCTTTTACATATTGGGTTTTTTTCTGAAACTCTATTTTTAAATGTTATTTTTTAAGCTTTATCTCTATTTTTCACCTTTTATTTTGAAGCATCGTTGTTCAAAGCATCATGACCAAATATGGTTTTTAAAGCACTTTCCGGCTTCTTTTCAATTGCACTATAAATAATGTTTTAAATGGAGAATGAAATAAGCCGTAAACACACCGGCATGTACAGCAGCGGTTCTCACAGCTGCTAGGCATGTGTGCGCCTTGGAGGTGGGTTTTCACGAGTCCTACCCGCACTGGGGGGTTATTACACAACAGCCTGCAAGTGCAGGCAGGGGAGCAGCCTGCTGAGTAGTTCGAGATGAAGTCCAGGAGAACAGGACCTCCTGGTGGGGTCTATGGCTGGGTGGTGGTCACATCAGCCTTCTTCGTCATGGGACTCACTGGAGCTGTCCTCAAGAACTATGGCCACTTCTTCCTGGACATACAGAGTCACTTTGGAGTTCTGACCAGCACTACCTCATGGGTAACCTCTACAACTATTGCCATGTTCCACATTGGAGGTAAGGGTTCGTTATTTGTTATGAACTCATGTTGTTTTTCTTTTCTTCTAAAACTTTTTACTTTTCCTTCTCAGCTCCAGCAGCCAGTGCTCTGTCCTTGAGGTTTTCCCAGAGGGTGGTCATCATAGTTGGGGGCCTTCTGTGCACCACTGGGATGGTCCTGGTCTCTCTGGACCTCAGTCTGCCTTGGCTCTACCTCACAATGGGAGTCCTGGAAGGTAGCACGCTTCACTTTGCACACAGAACAGGAAAAGATGAGTTGTGTTGCCAACAGACTTCCCGATAATTCTTTTATGGCTTTTTAATCTAATGCTTCTTGTGGTTTTTTGTTGTGTGAAACCAGTGGTGGAAGAAATACTTGATTTTTTTTTCTTTACTTAAGTAAAAGTACAACTAACAGGTAAAATACTTAGTGGAAGTATTCGAGAGATGGTTGATTTAAATAAAAGTATTAATTATGCATCAAATGTTCCTAAAAGTAAAAGTATCCAATTAACATTTAAGTATTCGTTGTGTGTAGATGTGTACTGTCGGAGCACACATTCAAGTACTTTTACTTTAGAATAGGGGTGTGTGGCTGGTCTCCATCAGACCGGAGATGCGGTTGTTGGTGGGAAAAACGCAAATAAAGTTCTTTGAATTTTGAAAGTTTTTGAAACTGTAGTAGAGAAGAAATATCTATAACTAGTAAAACTAGTATAACCAGTAAAAGTTAAAAGACCTCCAGAAAAGGACTTGAGGAAAGTCCAGAAACAGAAATATTGTACTTAAATGCAGTAACTAAGTACTTGTACTTCATTAAATTCTATCACTGCCAGAAACCCGATTGCAAGTGAATTATTTCCTGAAATGATTTCCCCACCAGAGAACGTCAGAAAAAACTTTCAGGGTTTAAAAATATTTTTACACTTAAAGCAGATTTTTTTTCCTAACTTCTTTAAGGCAGAAATGATTTATTGCACCTCGAGCCCCTTTCCCTACGTCCGTGCTTACACAGAAGGTTGCAGGTTCAATCCCAGCTCCCACCAGAGAATGCTGCTGTTGTGTCCTTGGGCAACATACTTAACCCCCTTTGCCTGCTGGTGGTGGTCGGAGGGACCGGTGGCGCCAGAGTTCGACGGGCCTCGCCCCAGGGCAGCTGTGCTTACATCGTAGCTCAGCGTGTGAGTGGGTGGATGACTGATCGTATTGTAAAGTGCCTTGGGGGGCTGCAGAACCCTCAGAAGGTGCTTTAAGGCCATTTTTAAACCACATTTAAGACTATTTGTCAATAAGAAATGCTGCTGACTGCACCAGGCCAGTACTTCCACTCTGTGGTGATTTGGCTAACGCTGAGCAGCTCAGCTCAGATGCATGGAGCTGAAGGGACTGCAGGCGGGCGTGGCAAAACAATACCCTGATGTGTTGGGTTAGGGTTGGGTTATACCACAGTAACCACCACCTTCACGGTCCTGAAAGGGGAAACTCCAGATTGCTGCTTTAAAGGGATGAATGAATGTTCCCTCTCCTCTTTTCCAGGTGCAGGCTTTTCCTTCTCGTGGGTTCCTGCCGTGAGCATGGTGAGCCACTACTTTACGAAGTGGCGGCCCATCGCCTACGCTCTCGCGAGCTCAGGGGAGTGTGTGTTTGCTATGGTTTTCAGCCCCCTCTTCAAATGGCTGATTGACATTTACTCCTGGCGGGGGGCACTGCTCATCATCGGAGGCCTTCAGCTGAACCTGTGTGTGTGTGGCATGCTCATGAGACCCCTGGAGACAAACCACACGACTTCACAGATAGACCGCCCTGGAGGCGACGCTGCTGAGACCCCATCAAAGACAAACGCCACCTTCCAGTGCAGCCTCATGAGAAAACCTGAATTTCTTCTCTACATCCTGTTTGCCATCCTAGCAGCTGCAGGGTTTTTTGTCCCCACTCTGTTCCTGGTTCCCTTCGCCGACAGTTTGGGGATGGATCAGTACTGGCCGGCCTCTATCCTCTCTGGTCTGGCAGTAGCTGACCTGGCGGGGAGGCTGTTCTGTGGGTGGCTCACCAGCATGAGGCTTCTGAGGAACCTGCAGCTGCTCACCATCGTCACCAGTCTGCTGGGGGTGGTTCTGCTTCTGCTACCCATCAGCTACAACCACTGGGCCCTCATGGGCTTCTCTTTGCTCTACGGCTTCCTGTTTGGCTGCATGGTGGCCATTCACGTCACCTCCATAGTGGACATCGTGAGTCTGGAGGGATTTGACAGTGGACTGGGGCTCTTTATGCTGTTCAGGAGCATCGGAGGCTTCATTGGTCCACCAGCTGGAGGTGAGCAGTCTGTTGTTGTGATGTGTGTGTGTGTGTGTGTGTGTGTTTGGGTTGCAGCTGGGATGTAATCAGCAGGAGAGCTGCTGCTGTTGGTAGGTCTGTCAGATTTACATATGCTGACATGTTTTTAGGGTTTTCCTGACAAAGCAGAGGAGTGTTGAAGCCAAGAGCTTCTGTGACGTGATGACACCTCCGTAGGTCTTTGGCTTGTTTTAACTCCCTTTTTGTGATTTTTATGTTTTGACCGCCTGTTTTTTCTCGGTTGGTTTAATCTGGAGTCATCTATTATATTGTAATAAAATCTATTTATTACTCATTATGGAGCTTTTAGCCTCAGCTCCAGCCGCAAGTTCCCATCATTTCTTTTCTTTTCATCTTTCTTTCACTCTTTCATTTAAAATGGATTTGCTAGATTTCACAGTCCTGGAATGTGTCATGTGATCACTGAAGCTGACCTGATGGACACACACACACACACACAAGAATACTGTGCTTTTCCTTGATGTTAGACGAGATTCTTGTCGGATTATCGTGTTTCTGCTTCAGATAGGGTCAGGATAATGACACAGAGCTGTAAAGGTTCCCAGCAGCCCTTGCATGGATTGTCTTCTATAGCTGCTGCGTTTTGAGGACATGTCTTCACCAGTGAGACCCTACCTGCTGCAACAAGGAAATAACTCTACACTGTTGATCGTCACCATCGAAACCAGTGGTGCTCAAACGTTTCACTTCCAGACACGAAAAACAGCAATTTCCCTAACACACACACACACACACACACACACACACACACACACACACACACACACACACACACACACACACACACACACACACACACACACACACACACACACACACACACACACACAACACTTTTAATGTTATTTCTGTTTTATTAACAACTGAGTAGGAACGTTTCCATCACTATTCCTGACAAACATGGGAACGTCCATCCCGTTTGTGCATCTGTGATGGGAATACGTTCAACAGAAGGAGTGCACACTTCCCAAGCAGGCCACGACCGCACAGATGCATCACATCTGTCCAGCTGCAGCGATATTATCAAATCTGAGGCAACATGATGGCAGAAATCCTCTTGGTCTGGCAACCACTGCAACCATCCTCGTTACTAAAATAAATATTAAATTCATTTGTTATTTTTCACTGAAAAAATAAATAAATAATAGCGTGTTAACACAAAACCTTTATTCAGAAGGAGATCCATGCAGCTGACGTTAAATGTAGAAGATTATGTTAAAGTCCTCTGATGTGAGGCTAGTTTGGTTTGTAATCTGCTCACGTGGGTTTCATCACCGTCACCAGATGGAGTGTTGCACGAGTGCACACCAACACGTCCGATTATGACAACAGCTGCAGGTTTACGTAGCTGAGCAGAGACGGCTTACTGCAGACTCCCCCGACCCCGACCCTGACCCCTGACCCCGACCCTACCGGGGCACGCGGACGCTTCGGAGCACTGATGTGTTTTTGTTTCCTGGTTTCTTGTGCAGGCTGGTTGGTGGACCAGAACAAAGACTACAGCTCCGCCTTCTACCTGTCGGGCTTCTGCCTGATTTCTTCTGCGGTGTTTGTCGTCCTGGTCGACTGCCTGATTCAGAGGAAGAACTCTGGAGATCATCAGACCGTCCACCAGCAGACGGGAAACGCGTTAAGAGACGCTGCTGCATGAGCTTTACTTGAGATGAGTGTTTAGTTGTTTGGTTTGATGCCGGCACCCAGATTGAGCTCGTAGAGCAGGTCCGTGTCACCAAACACTTTTTATAGAAGTTTGAGGAATTCTCGTGTAAAAACAACAAAACTTCGTCAGATTTCTACAGTTTAAAGAACATTTACAGAGCAAACATCCACAACTACAAATCCTCACTTTTATCAGTGTTGTGGGTGATTTACCAAACGCTTCATACAATACTAACTTTTACAGCTGCACTGATCTTTCCACACATTCATTTATTCATATTTAACCGTTTTATCTTGCGGCACCCTTTTCTCCTCCGCCGTGCGCGTCGTGGTTATTCTGAGCTGGTCCAGTAGCAGGAACACTCGGGTCCTGATTTATAAAAAATACTCCTAACTCTTTCATTTTGCTCTCCCTGAAAGTAAGACTTCTGTGTCTAAAGGATCTCCGTCGGCTTTCTGTTCACAAAACCAGCAGCGCTAACGACATGCTGGTGCAGGGTTAGGGTTAACCTAACATGACCATCGTAAACACATCAGACGTTATAAAGACCGAGAGATAGAAGAACAGGGAGAGTTCAGCGGCGTTTGTCCTGAACCCGCCTCCAGTGCGCTCCGGTAACAGGACAGGTGTGTAATACTCTAGATGTAAGACAGCTTTTAATTAGTCCCTGTATGGCTTTTCTGGCAGAAGCATCAACTTCAGTGAGAAATTAAACATCAAACACTCTAGAACGTTCCCATCATGGCGGCCGTTAGCTCCGGTTACGTGGAAAATCTAAAGCGTTTACATTTTTAACACCCCCTTACTTCCGAATGTGTTGAGAGTAACAGCGTTTAAGTGTAATGACATTACTTTTTAGGTAGCAGAGTAAAGTATGGGTCTTTTCCCAGGGTTGCTACACCGTGCCCAGTAAGGGGCGTGTCACTCATGTGGCTGAGTTCAGCACAGCCGTTTCAGGCTCTGACACCTTCGAGAGAGAGCAGGCGGCCATGTTGTTACTAGTAGAAACTATAATGATGCTTATCCATAAGAACTACATCCAGACTGGGTCTGTACTCCAGATGTCTGTAACGATGTTGTTCTTATAGAAATTAACATCTAAGATCTCCATGGCAACAGTCCTACTGAATGAACTCGTCACATACCAGTGTGTTACAGAAAGTTCCTTTGCTATGTAACTAATTACTTCTTTAGCGTGGTAACTGAGTTACTAAATTACATTTTGTCAAACGAAACCTATTTGCTCCTTTTTATTTTCAAACTGCAGCTTTTGTTCCTGCTGAAAGTTTTGCTCATTCAGGCCCGACTTTACCCTTCTTAGCAGAGCCGACCACCTCAGAGCAGATGTTCTTAAAGAGCAAGTCACCCCCACCAGAGTATTACTCCGCTCCCACTTCCTGTTTGAAAAATGCAACAAATGCTGTTGCCTAGCAAACCGAGAGGGTGGAGCCGCTAACAAATACACACACACACACACAGGCACACAACGACATTGTGACATCATATGGCACCAGCTAACATTCTAAGCTACCTCTTAGCCAATAGCGATGGCAGATTTAAATTCAAATGCAGAGCAGAGTTTTTACCTGACGACGGCTCAACACCGACAGTTTTAGGCAGAACATTTAAATTGTAACTAAAATGCACTAAAGTGTTAAACTACTGACGACACGTGTCTGCAGCACGACTAGACACGCGTTTATATAGTTTATCAGGGAAAATAAAGTTGATTTGGGGGTGACTTGCTCTTTAAAGAGAACGGAAACAAGAAACCGAACAGTTTAACTTTGTTCAGTCGCAGATTCTTTTAGTTTTGGTTCTAGAAATAAATCCAACCATGAATGAGTTTCTGAGCTGATGAGATGACAGGATCCAGGGTTAATTTTTGCCCTGAACGACCAACTTCTGAACTAGTAAACCGAACGAGCCTACGGAGCAAAGTACTCATCAGGAGTGTTAATCATCATCATCGTGATTCCTAGGCACAATAAACAGTCCCCGGTCTGTTTAAAGAATAAAACAATCAAGTATTGACCGCAAAGTTTAAAGTATGGGTCTTTGTTTTATTGCCAAGAAATCTCATGAAAACTTCTTAAAAAAGATTTAATAAACAAATCAGCCTTTAAAAGTCCAATTAAAAACCCGAACAGATGGACTCTCGTTTTCACAAGTGTGTGTGTGTGTGTGTGTGTGTGGGGGGGGGGGGGGGGGGGGATTTTTTCCTAACATTTACATTTTTATGTGGTTTTGGTATTTATTTTTTTTAGAAATTTTTACAGTTATATCATATTTTTTCAGTTATGTCATGAGTTTATGCAAAAGGCCTAATTTCAAACCTTTGATTTGTCATTTTTCATGTTTCTGCCTTTTATCTGACTAATATCAAATATTAATAATCCAATCTGCGGGCTTTTTTAAGACTTTAGTTTTGAAATGTTGGTCCGTCCTCACGAGTGCATTTTTCCAAATGTATAAAAGATTTAGAAGATAAAATATTAAAATCCCTCAAATGGGAACAATTATCCGTAGGACCGAATGAGCCCACAAGGTGGCAGTGTTGCCTCCTGTCTCAAAACATCAACACGCTTGAAGACAAACATGTTTAATGCAGACGTTTTTATCAGATTTAGAAAAACTAGATTAGAAAACGATTCTTTAAATTTACGACTAACCCGTTCACAAACGGCTTCAAATAACCGATCATATCAACAAAATCTACAGAAACTACCACTGTCCAGAACCTGGGTGGAAAAGGAAGTAAAGACCGCTCAAAAAAAGGGGGGGATCACAATTCAACAGCGTTTTAAAAGTTTATCATGAAGCTTGTGGTGGGCGCAGAATAGGGAAAGCAAACAACTGCACCATTTGGTCCGTTTCAATAGTTCAAGTTGGGTGTGAGACCTGCCCCAACCCTGGTGGAGCCCCACAGAGCCCAGTCCCAATGTCCACCTGGCAGGCAGGCGAAGCCGTCTGCGTGGAGGAGTTAAACACCGAGCGAGTTTACAACTCCTTTTAGAAAGGTTCCAGCTCATGTGACATCTACACTGAAGAACGCCTGATGTTTTAGTGCTCTGAGTGCAGGCGGGACATTGGGACGACGCTGTAAACACGGTCTACGAGGAGGCTCGCTTCTCCTCATACGGGGACTCGTACACCTCCATGGGTGGGCAGGTGCACACCAGGTTCTGGTCGCCGTAGATGTCATCAATCCTCGAGATGGTCGGCCAGAACTTAGTCTCAGGCCTTATGAAGGGCTGCAAAGAATAAAAGTACATAAGACTTCTTTAATTACAATAAAATCGTAACACTGGTGCCAAACAGGATTAACTCAAACTTTGTATTGACAGCTGCTAAATCTCTGAAAACAACGTTGAGCAATTTTGTGGGTCTAATGATTTGTTTTTAAGTTTGTAATCCGTGTTTGTTTCTGGAGAAGTTCGGGTTAGGGTTGTTATCTATCTAGATTACAGCTCGGGCTCTAGATGGAGGGTTAGGGTTGTTATCTATCTAGATTACAGCTCGGGCTCTAGATGGAGGGTTAGGGTTGTTATCTATCTAGATTACAGCTCGGGCTCTAGATGGAGAACGTTCAGAAAAAACACCACAAAGGTTCAAGTTTTAATACATTATTTGGAATTTGGGTAAAATGTCTGAAGGAGAAAAAAATGTATTTGCTTAGACCAGAGGCATCCGATTCTTGTCCTGGGGGGCTGGTCTCCAGCATGTTTTAGTGGTTTCCCAACACACTTAATTCAGTGGTTGAATCGCCTGTGCAGCAGCTCATCAGGCTCTGCAGAAGCCTGTTAATCGCCTGCTAAACTAAAACGGGCTTGATACCAGGACTCCAGGCCCAGAGTTCAATAGCCCTTGCTTAGACATTCGTTGGGTAAAGGCCTGTTACCCCAAAAACCCCGTTCCTGCTTAAGTGTGTCAACACGTTTAACAGAAAACCGCCAGAAAGTCGTGTTGAAGCGGTTAAAATGTGCAGTTTTCACCACTAGATGGCGGTAAAGTTTGAACGTGTTCCCCAAAGTGGATTTGAATGATAAACGTGAAAACTGCGTTCTTTTAAAGCAGTAGTGACTAAATATTTTTTAAACAAGTTGATGTTTGGATTCCCAACTGTTGAAGAACCAGAACATTCCTGAACCCAGCTTCTGTCACGATCAATGATGGAAAATAAACACTAAATGTTATAAACAACTGTTTGTCTTCCTCGTCTCACAAAGTAAGTGTGCTCAAACCGTTTCAAGCAACATCCAAACTTTGAAAATAATTCAAATTTCAATGATTTCAATCAGCTGTAAGAACTAAACACTCACCAACGGGAACGCCGCGTGCTCTCGGGAGTAAGGTCTGTCCCAGTTCGAGGATGAAATGCATGCCAGAGAGTGAGGAGCCATCTGCACAGAAAACAACACAAAACGTCTCAACGGTCACTGCGATAGCTTTGTCACCTTGTCCAAGTTAAGCAGTGTACCTTGAGCGGGTTAATACGAGAGTCCATCCTTCCCTCCTCGATGTCTGCGATCTCCTGACGGATGCCGAGCAGGGCGTCGCAGAAGCGGTCCATCTCAGCCTTGTCCTCCGACTCCGTGGGCTCAATCATGAGCGTACCAGCCACCGGCCAGGACATGGTGGGCGCATGAAAACCTGCACAACAATCCAAAACCATTTCATACCCTCAAGCAGCTTCACTTCCGGATTTGAAGGAATGCGTGCGTTAATCCCACCGTAATCTTGCAGCCGCTTGGCCACGTCCACAGCCTCGATGTTGGCCGTTTTCTTGAACGGCCTCACATCCAGAATAAACTCGTGAGCACAAAAACCTTCCCAGAACAAACAAAGTCTGGTTCACTGCCTGGGATAAAGGCTTGCGTTCATTACTAGAGCAAGACTTCACCTTTCCGGCCTTTGAAGAGGATTTTATAGTGACCTTCCAGCCTCTTGGCCATGTAGTTGGCGTTGAGGATGGCCACTTGTGTAGCATGAGTAAGCCCCTTGGAGCCCATCATCTGTAGACGAGAATAAAGCTGATTTATTCATCAACCTCCTGGTGAAAAAGACGTGACGCCAGCTTGAGGGTTGCAAATCTAATGTCTGCTCAGTGTTTTAGTCCTGTTCTGAGTCAGGGTCACACTAAAATAAGTCCTCTAGAACCAGTCGGACACATAAGCATCCCGGCGACCTGTGCTGACCTTGATATAAGCCCACGAGATTGGCAGGATGGCGCTGGAGCCCCACGGAGCGGCGCTGATGGTTCCCAGGGAGCTGCTGCTGTTCACCGACCGCATGGGGACCACCGGGTGGCTCGGCAGGAAGGGAGCCAGATGGGCCTTCCTGAAGAGGACAGCACAGTGGAGGTTTGTGTTTGTGATCATCAACCCCAGAAACGGTTAGCTGCATGAGTCATGTTGGCACTTACACTCCGATTGGGCCCATGCCAGGTCCTCCTCCACCGTGAGGGATGCAGAAGGTTTTGTGCAGATTCAGGTGAGACACATCAGAACCGTAATCTCCAGGACGACACAAGCCCACCTTGAAGGACGCAGCAGATGGAAACAATCATTCAGAAATTCACCTTAGAAGTGGAAGAACTCCTCTAAAGTTCATCAGCATCACCTGAGCATTCATGTTGGCACCGTCCAGGTAAACCTGACCGCCGTTGTTATGAATGAGGTCACACACGTCCCTGATGTTCTCCTCAAAGACGCCAAACGTTGAAGGATAGGTGATCATTATGGCTGCCAGGCTCGCGTTGTGTTTGTCTACCTGGAAGAGGGAACGAGGGTCATGATGTGAAGACGAGGACTAATAAAGCAGGACCCTGTTGTTTTCATGCTCTCGCCTGGGCCTTGAGGTGCGCCAGGTCGATGTTGCCATCTTTGTCCACCTCCACAACCTGAACCTTCATGCCCGCCATCTGAGCGCTGGCTGGATTGGTGCCGTGGGCAGATTTGGGGATCAGACAGACCTGGAATAACAGGTGAACTATCAGCACTGTGGGATATTAAAGAAGTCACTCGCTCGATCTTCATCCGTGTGCTCTCCAGTGGAGAAAAGCTCTGGCGCTCCTGTTTCCTGAGGTAGAAGTGAGGTGGAGGAGTGGGTTGGTGGAAGTTTTACTCATTAGTATTCATGATATGCAATTATCTCGCCTCTGATTGGCTAACAGCAACGAGACTCTTCTGCTGCTTACGTTCACTCTTCATTCGTAGGTAAAAATGCAACTTTAATGTTTTATCTCCAAAAATAACACAAGCCACATTGTTGAGTTGCTAATGCTAATAGTTAGCTTCTACTAGCAGAGATGCGCACTGCTCTCTCCTGACCTTTAAACGATCTTCCCAACCAAGGTGGGTGGAGCACTGAAAAAACTTTTTACTGGAATGTTAAATGTAACCCAATAAAATCATCTAACGTGTGACTAAATATATTAAAGACTGAAAGTTAATTCTACCTATTTTATTTAATTAACAAATATAACCCGATTGTAATGAGTAGAACTTACCCAAAAATATTAGTTCATCATTGACGGATTACCTATTTTATTTAATTAACAAATGGAACAATTGCCCATGTTCACACTTCTGTGCTGTATTTGCTTTCCATCTCACGTATTCATGTGACTAGAATTATAGAAGCCCTTCAGTTTTTAGGAGAAAATTTCCAGCACATCAAAATCAATCCGGCGCAGTTCAGTTCAGCTTTAGCAAACCAGAACAATACTATGTTGTACTGCTTTTGAGTGAATACATACATATTCATACCAGCATTGGGCAGCAGTATATCTCAGAAGCTAAAGCAGGCGGTCCGGT